GAGGGAGGAAGAGGGAGGAAGAGAGAGATAGTTTGTCGGAGTGGACGAGCGGCCGCGCGCCGACGCGAGCGCGCAGCAGACGCTCGACGTGGGCAGGCGCCTCGCCCAGCCGCACCTTGGAGAGCGCCGACACAAACTCGGGGTCCGCCTGGCGGGGAAGAAGGGGGGGGGGTGCTGAAGGTCTCCACACACACAAGGTTGTGTGGTGGGGCAAGGGCCAGGCTAGTCCCTCGCGACTCCACGTCTAGACGACAGGAGCCCCGCGGCATCGAAAGTGCAAGGCCCGGTGCGCGTGGGTGAGCGGTGTGAGTGCGTGTGCGTGCGTGTGCGCGTGCGCGTGCGTGTGCGTGCGTGTGCGTGTGCGTGTGCGTGTGTGTGTGAGAACGTGTGTGCGCGTCTCTCTCGAATGGCGGTACACGGTCTGCAGCTCGAAGGTGCGGCCGACCATATCTCCCCACATCTCCCCATATCTCCCCATATCTCGCCTGGCGGTACACGGTCTGCAGCTCGAAGGTGCGGCCGACCATATCTCCCCACATCTCCCCATATCTCCCCATATCTCGCCTGGCGGTACACGGTCTGCAGCTCGAAGGTGCGGCCGACCATATCTCCCCATATCTCCCCACATCTCCCCATATCTCGCCTGGCGGTACACGGTCTGCAGCTCGAAGGTGCGGCCGACCATATCTCCCCATACCTCCCCGCATCTCCCCACACCTCCCCACACCTCCCCACATCTCCCCACATCTCCCCACACCTCCCCATATCTCCCCATATCTCCCCATATCTCCCCATCTCTCGCCTGGCGGTACACGGTCTGCAGCTCGAAGGTGCGGCCGACCACGCCGCTCCAGCAGTCCGCCTGAGATGGGGAGGTGTGGGGAGGTGTGGGGAGGTGTGGGGAGGTGTGGGGAGGTGTGGGGAGGTGTGGGGAGGTGTGGGGAGGTGTGGGGAGATACGGGGAGATATGGGGAGGTATGGGGAGATACGGGGAGATATGGGGAGGTATGGGGAGGTATGGGGAGGTATGGGGAGGTATGGGGAGAGATGGGGAGAGATGGGGAGAGATGGGGAGATATGGGGAGGTATGGGCAGGTATGGGGAGGTATGGGGAGGTATGAGGAGATATGGGGAGAGATGGGGGAGATGTGGGGAGATATGGGGAGAGATGGGGAGAGATGGGGAGAGATGGGGAGGGATGGGGAGGCATTCTCGCCTCGAACGCGAAGCGAAACTCGCCCGAGCGGGAGACGGGCGGCAGCTGGAAGAAGTCGCCGCACAAGATGACCTGCACGCCTCCGAAGGGGCGCTCGTCCCGCCTAAAAAAAGAAATGCGAGGGTCGATCGCCACGGCGCTGTCCCTGGGCGAGGGCGAGCTCGTCCGCGGCGTCGCCGCACGGCACGCGCGACAGCCTACCAGCCGGAGGATGCGGAATGAAGACTGGGTCCAGAGCAGGGCGCCAGAGCTCCGCCTCGCGCGGCGCGGAGCCGGGGCAGGCTGAGGAGCGACGTGTCCGTGTAGCGCAGGGGCTCTGTTAGTGTCTGGCTGCGTGCGTGTGAGCTGTGGGCTCCGGGGAGGCGCGCCATCAGAGCTATGCCATGGCGGGACTGGCGAGATGTGGGGAGATCTGGGGAGAGAGGAGGAGACATGGGGAGATGTGGGGAGATCTGGGGAGAGAGGAGGAGACATGGCGAGATCTGGCGAGATATGGGGAGAGAGGAGGAGACATGGGGAGATGTGGGGAGATCTGCACTCTCAGCATCATCTGGCGTGCTCTCGCGTGTCCTCCTCTCGCGCACGCACCGAAGAGATTGCATCTAGAAGTGCGTGTGCAATCTCGCGTGCAATCTCGCGTGTGCGTGTGCAGGCCGTGTGCAGGGGCCGTGGACTCCAAAGCTATGCTTCTTTGGTGCTTGCTTCTTTGGTGCGTCTGCTCACCTCGATCTTGTCCAGCAGCGTGCCGTCAAGCATCGACACCTCGTCAATGACAGAGACGGGGAGATACGGGGAGATATGGGGAGATACGGGGAGAGACGGGGGGAGGCGGGGGGGGACGGGGGGAGACGTGGGGAGATATGGGGAGATATGGAGACGGGGAGAGACGGGGAGAGACGGGGAGAGACGGGGGGAGAGGAGCACCTCATCGATGACAAGCGCCCTGCACGCACGCCACTCGTTCCCTCGCCGGCTGGTTGCGGACCGGATCATGTCGGCCAGCGGCCGCTGTCCGTCGCCGATCCCCGCCCAGTGGTGCAACGTGACGCCGCCGACGGCGCAGGCGGCGATGGCGGTGGTGGCGGTCGCGGCGGTTGTGTCCGCGGGAAGCCGTTTGAGGAGCGACTTGAGAAGGAAGGACTTGCCTGCGGGAGGAGCATGCGGCCGACATCAGGGTTGGAAGGCGGTATGGAGCAGTGTCCAGTGAAGACCGCGGAACAACGTCGCATACAGCGGAGTGCGTGTCCTCTCGAGCGCTGGTCGGAAGACAACAGCTTGGTACTCCGCTTCTAGGCGCGAGATATGGGGAGATATGGGGAGATATGGGGAGGTGTGTGGAGATATGTGGAGATATGTGGAGATATGGGGGAGATGTGGGGAGATATGGGGAGATGGTCGGAAGACAAGAAGGCTTCTAGGGTGACTTGCCCGTGCCGGCGCCGCCCGTGAAGAAGAAGGACTCGCCACGCAACGCCGCCTTGAGCACGGCCTGCTGCTCCTGCATGATGACGGTACGCCAACCTCAGGGCGGGGGTACGGTGTTGTGCAGCGTATGGAGCACCGCGTGAGCACACGGGCTACGAGTACCGTGAGTACAGCCGAGTACGCCGAGTACAGCGGCGTACGTGTCCTCTCGAGCGCTAGCCGGGATACAAGAACACGTGGTCCGCTTCTAGGCTGCCGCTCCTCCGACAGCGCCTGCCTTGTCGACGGCGACAGCACGGGCGACGGCCGCAGCGGCAGCGATCCGGGCGACGGGCGCAGGTCGCGCGCCTTCCTCCGGCTGACGACGGTCGGAGAGGCGAGCGAAGGGGAGGCGGCGACGTTGGCCGCTGCGGGCGTCCGCTTCGCCAGCGGACGCGGCGGAGGGGAGGCGGCGGGCCGCTCGTCGCGCCGTCCCGCCGCTCCGCCCTTGAGAGCGTGCAGCCACTCGGCGAGCCTCGCCGGCTCGGCGTTGGAGAGGAGGATCTGCTTGTGCTGCCGCGCGAGGGTGAGAGTCGCCTTGCCGTCGCGCACGAATCGGGCGAGCAGGGCGACTCCGCCAGCCACCGGCCACTCGTGCTGCTCCTTCTCCTTCGCGCGGTCGCCGACCACGAGGAGCGCCCGGTTCGAGTCGTCGAGGCAGAAGCCGATCGCGGTGCGGCGCATCTGCTGCGTCCTCACCGGCCGCTGGCTCCGCGCGCACAGCGTCTGCACGAGGACATCTACATTGTCAAGCCAGACCATGTCGGTCTGTGGCTCGCTTCGAAGCGAACACAGAAAAGAAAAACTTGTGCGCCTAAGTGCGAAGTTACTCCGACGATGTATGCTTCTGAACGGCGCTTCACTTGAATGGCGTTCGCTTCGGCCGGCCTGCCGCCGCCGGCGCTCAACGCTGCCGCTGCCGAGGGCGCGGCGCGCGGCCGCGACGGCGCGCAAGAGGCCGATGATGGCCAGAGACTCGGCGTGAAGCGCCGCCTCGACGGCGAGCTCGCGAGCGCGCGCGTCAACGACGACGACGCCAAAGAAGGCGACACCATTATGGTGGACGCCGCACAGATGGCCGCTGCGGCGGCCGCCGGCACCGACCGCGGCACGAAGCGCCTGCTGCACGTCGCGCTCGCGGCGCGCGACGGCTCGCACATCCCGGACATCCAGAACACGACGGCGCTCGTCACCGAGATTCGACAGCTTCTGAGGAAGACGCCAGGCTGCGAGGCGCAGCCGGCGAGCGCGATCAGCGTGCCCGTCATCGGCACGTCGCGCGCCATCTGCGTCGCCTTCAGCGGCGAGAGCGAGGCACGCGCCTTCCTCGAGCAGTACGCCGGCGGTGGCGTCCTACAGCTCCCAGCGCCAGACAACATCACCATCACCTTCGCCGCTCTCGACGCCACCGTGTGGGGCAAGCAGGCGGAGGCGCGCGAGACCCAGGCGACCATCGACTCCGACGGCCTCCTCGCCATACGCACGCGCGGCGCCATCAACACCGCGGCCCAGATCGAGCACTTCGCCCCCCTCTTGGAGAAGCACTTCGGCAACGTGGTCTCCATCCAGGAGGGATACCACTCCTTCCTCGGCACGAAGTCGGACGAGAAGGACGGCTCGATCCTCTTCAAGGTGAAGAACGAGAACCTCGTCTGCAACCTCCCTGTCCTGCCCAACGTCTACGCGAGCGGCGATGTCGGCGGACCCCTCCGCCTCGACGTCGGGAGTGTGAAGGTGCTCGGGAACAAGCTTTGCCCATCGTGCCGCGCCTTTGCGACGACGAGCGCCGACATCATCCACGACGCGCAGTGCGGCGCGCAGGCGCTCAAGGAGAGGCGCGCCGCAGCGGCGAACGTCGCCAAGAAGAAGACCTTCGAGAGCCTCATCGTCGACAACAGGGTCGAGGTCGCGCGCGCGGCGGGCAAGGCCAAGGCGATGGCGGTGCGCGACGGGATCGGCTTCTGCCCGGCCTTCAACCAGACCGCCATCCCGTGCAAGACCGCCGCTCGCTGCCGCTACGCGCCGTGCGTCAACTTCGAGGCGCTCCTCCACTCCGCCTTCAAGGACACTATCTACGAGCGCATGCCGAGCGCGGTCAGGCTGGGCACAAGCCGCGGGCGGCGCGGGCGCGGCGGCCGCGGCGGCGGCGGCGGCGGCGGCGAGGTCAAGAGCAACAAGAAGAACTGGGCGAGCGTCGCCCGCGGAGCCGCCCGCTCCTCCTCCGACGGCGGCCCACTCCTCGAGTCCAACGAGCCCTCCCTCTACGAGGGGAGCGACGAGGATTTCTAGGAACGGCCGCCGAGCCCTTCCCGCAGCGCAACCCTAGCAGCGCAGCGGGCAGGGCGGCTCGCGCAGCACGCACGCGAGCGAGCGAGCGAGCGAGCGAGCGAGCGAGCGAGCACACACACACACACACACACACACACACACACACACACACACATGACGCAACGGTATCGAGAGCGCCACCCAAAAGGAGGCGGACAGCCATGGAGGTCACCAAATGGAGGGCGAACGGCACAATACGAAAAGGCAGGGCGAGGCGGATGGAGAAAGAAGTGCCGAGGAGGCCATGGTGGAGGGGAGGGACGGGAGGACGAAAGACCAAGGGCGAGGAGGACGAGCGGCCCGCACAGGCCGCGAGCAGACAGCGCCTGCTGGCCATTTCGAGACATTCGCAAAGAACGCTAGCTACATGGGAGGGCTTCGTGAAGGATGGATTGAAAAACATTCGAACAAAGAAGAGGCGACGGGAGGAACCGGCAGAGGATGCAGTGACGTGACACACACACACACACACACACACACACACACACACACACACACACACACACACACACACACACACACACACACACACACACACACACACACACACACACACACACACACACACACACACACACACACACACACACACCGCTCACCCACGCGCACCGGGCCTTGCACTTTGAATGCCGTGGGGCTCCTGTCGTTAGACGTGGAGACGCGAGGGTTGCCCCCCCTTGCCCCACCACCTCGTGTGTGTGGAGAAGTTTACCTTTTACCTTACCTTACCTTACCTTAAAAAATCCCTCTCTGTGACTGTGTGACTGAGGTGGTACCTTTTGTTAACGACCAGCAGAGCTGCCGCTCAACACTACTAAAATCCGGACGCCCGCGCGCAGCCATCCACCAATCTAAGGGTCGCACACGCTTGCGGTTGCGCGCGCGGCGGCCGCGTCACCTCTCGCTCTCTGACCACCTCTCTCTCTCTCTCTCTCTCTCTCTCTCTCTCTCTCTCTCGCTCTCTCTGTCTCTCTCTCGCGGAAACCAACCCAACCAAAAAAATCTCCCACGGGGGTAAAAGAGGCGTCCTACTCTGCCGCCCCTCACACTTGGTCCCCCTCGGCCTCGGGCCCCCTGAGGAGAAA